CCTCCTTACTTCTTCCAGGAGAGCAGCTCCTGTCTGATGACATGAGTCTACCTGCTGACAGGTGAGCGCAGAAGGGCGCCAGCTTCACGCCATAATAACGATGCAATAATGGCTGGAGAGGACACACATGCTAGTTACACACAGCTGTAGAGTAGAAACTATTTGTTATGCATGAACTGAAAACAAACACTTGCTTTTTTTTCTTAGAGTTTCCTGAATGTCTTTATTATAGGACCATGGCAGAAGTTAATGAAATAACTGTTAAGAGCGTCACTTCATGTTGTGCAGAAACAACAGAGCTGCTCCCTTCAAGACAAACAACATCACCGTTTGCGTTTAAAGTTGTTTTTCTCTGTTCTGGGTTTGTCTTCATTCGGGGGTTTGACCCCTCGGTGCTGCTTTTTGCTCGTCAGTGTGGCTGTTATATAGCAGCACTGGGTTTACGTAAGTCAGTTAGTCTCATTATTTAATAGCCACGTACTAATGGCGACACTGCTGTTTGTTTAATGACTGAATTTCTAACAGTGTTAGGTGCATAGAAGCAGGACTGCAGTGCTTTTTAGTCACTTTATTTAATTCCTTGTGTATAAATGCCTTTCTAAGTCTGGCCTGTCTACAGCATATATATGTAAATAATATGTAGCCTGTCAATAAGAGTTTAGTGTTTCTACTGCTGTGCTGTTCATGCTGAGTTCAGTCTTCCTGCCCTTCAGGCCCAGCACCTTCTCCTCTGCCTTCACCCACTCGGCTCTCTTTATCCACCGCTCAAACGCTTCGTTTCAGACACACAGTTTTTTTTTTGTTCTTTTTCTCGAGGTGAACCATTAGCTTTCCTTGTAAGTCATGTAAATGTCTTCGCTCTTAATAACAACCGCGTCAGACTTTATTTGACATTTGAAAAGGCTAAACGATCAACTGAGTAACGTGGTTTATGAAGCTGCCGCTGCAGTCTGTGGGCTGAAACTTCATAGCACACCGCAGCCTCCGCGGTGACCCTCAGACTCTCAGGCAGGTGTTTTCAGTTCAACATCTGCATAAACACCAGTGACTGCAGGGCAACGGGCCTCTGCCCGCAGAGACTGACACACATACAGCACACCTGGCAGCTCATCAGTTATTATTAATTTAAAGGAGCAGTCTGAGTTTGGGTCTTCTCTTGATTCTGTAAAAATCTTTGTTAGCTTTACTGGACTCTATCCACACCTGCTCCTCTCCACTCCCACAGATTCAAACACCACTAAAACAACTGCCTTTTTTAAAATGTATTTATTTTTATTCCATGTTTTAAGTCTGCAGTGAGTGAGCGAGCATTGAAAAGCTGAAACTGAGGCAGTAGCTCTGTTTAAATTATTAGTAACACCTCTGTGTTCCTGATGTGGTGTGTCAGCACATCTGCTCTGGAGAGTTTCTGTATGTGGGCTGTACTCAGGCACAAAAGTGCAAAATTTAAAGGGCTAGTACACCCAAATTAAAAAGCTTACGTAGTGTTATCTATTAGTGAGATTGCTGTTCTTACATGGACACGATGGAGGGGCATTTACTTAGTACTCTCTCGATTAATCCTACGGATCATTTTCTCAGGATTTCATTTGGCTTATTTAATGGTTCCAAAGAGTGAAAAATGACTGTCGCAGAAAAAAACGATCGGCTAATCAGAAAGTTTGCCCGTTAATTTCCTCTTTATCTAGATTTACTGAATAATTGCTGCACCTCTAGGTGAGTGCTAATTAGTTTGGGGTGCTCTGAAAAATGACTTTCCTTCTAGACCCTCTTACCATTGATAATTTAATTGGAAATATGTGGGGACCTTCTAATGAAAACTTCCCAGGATGGAAGGCTTTTGGGGTTTTTTTTTTTGGGTGGGGGAGTAAACTAAACAGAAATAATCTGCATAGAATGAAAGTGTGTTTCTAATTTTGGGTGAACTGACCCTTTAAAGTCGAGGCACATTTAGTTTTCTGAGGAGTTGACAGCAGAGCTTAATAAGAATCGCTGTAATTATGTAACGTGTGCTCTGCTGCCCTGCTGGCTTTTCTTGATGGATTAATTATTTCTCACCTCACTTCTCTGAACAAACAGAGCGAACACGAGTGAAACGCTGTTGCTGCACTTCACTGGGAGAAAACATGTCGAGCACTCTGTCAGACCTTTCTCCTTCACCCCTCAGCTGTAACTCATTTTAAAAGCCACTTATTCTTCCCATAATCGGGAGTTTGTGTTGTAAATATGTTGGAGTATGTTCTTTTGAGGCTGTGCCTGAATGCACATGGCTTTAACAGCTGGACTGAAAGAAGATGGACTTCTTGTGCGCACCAAGTCTTTACACTAATAATTGAAAAAGTCCGTTGCAGCTCATCTTGTAAATTCTGCCTTTTTGTCTGTTCCACTGTTGCGCACTTTCACATACATGACCGAAACATGGAAAAGCTCATATTCTTCACATGTTGTTTTGTCAAAAGCTGCTTTTGTTTTACATTTCCAGAAGTTGCAGTCTATAATTTTATGTGTATATTTTCTTTTTGTTGTGAGTGTAATAAATAAAATGTTTTATGATACTGAGAAAGAGCACGGTTGCTTATTTGTGTACCCCACAGCTCACTTATGCTCGTAAAGCTCTTGGAGCCGTAGCCGAAACCCAACAGGAAGTTCACCATTTTGAATTTAAGACTCAATTTTGGCCCTGTTTCTTATGCTATTTTAGGATGTTATGTTCCAACCAACTACTAGGGATTCAATTTGATCAATTTTGTTTCTCAATCTCATCCAAAGACCTTGGTGATGCTAAGCTTGGTGAAGCGTTTGCAGCTTCGTTAACGGGCGTGTCTGTGGCAGCTTGGAGAATGGCATTTATCCGCCATAGCGTTGGAAGTTATCAGAACTCACGTCTTTGTGAGTTTGGCATGGTTGATAAACCTCCAGGGCTGAGACATCTACATGCTGAAAGGACATCGCCACCATAGCTCCGCCCAGTGCCTACAGACTAAAGCCTTTTGTGATTTAAAAATTCTGATACATGTGACCTTTTCATCATGGGTTTACATTCTAAAAGACTTGGAACAACAAAAAAATCCAGTGGCACTGAAGCGACTCACAAAATGATGGCAAGAGGAAGAATTAGTGCAAATTACAAAAAATGAGATGTGCAAAAATTAGGCTTGAAACAGGCGTAATACACTGTCAACTCAAGACTACAGAGGTCCTGGGTTTGAATTCAGAGCCCTTGTATGTGCAACTTGTATTTCATCCTTTTACTTAATTATGTTTAATTCTCCTGTCACTAATTGTAAAAAACAAAAACGAGAGGGTTTATGGATGTTGTTTAGAACAGCATGCACATGGTGGGTTTGAGAGAAGGGGCATGCTCCTTATTCGTTGTAGTCAACCCGGAAGTGAGCAGTGGAAAGAAGATCAGACTGATTCAAAGCAGGACTGAGAATGACTGAAAATACAAGAAAGATTCAAAGAGACCTCAAACTGATGCAAATCAGCTAAACAAAGACAAAAATGTGCATCAGAGAGACACAAAATGTAGAAGTCTGGATCTCAGGAGGGAAGCGGTGTCGATTTGGAGCATCAAATAGCAGCTTTCACTGAATTGAAAGACCTGAGCCCCTGATATTAGATGCTCAGTGTATTGAAATGAATCAGTAATCATATTTATTACACTCTGGTACGGGTTAATACTGCAGAGCATCTTTAAATGTCACGTGTAAAACACATTATTTACACAGTATTCGCGCGCTGGTTCCTATACTCGAACCCGGTTCTTTTCCTGTTTCCATACTGGAATAAGGAACAGAAACATTGACGCGTTCTCCCTTTTACCTCTGATTCTCATTTTCCTCGGAGCCTGAACTGCTGGAATGGAGAGAATAAAGCCAGATTATGATAGGGGTGAAGTGATGAGTCTTTTTATAGAAAGAATGTGGAGGACTGCTCACTTTTGTAAAGCTGTTTATGTAATAGCAGACGGCACTGTTCCACATGAAAGCCCTGTTACGGCATCACATCTCCGCACACCGTGGCTTCACTTCGCCATACGTGAAAACTCTTTGTGCAGGTTTCCTCTTATTCTCTGCTGCAAATGAACAAAAAAAATGTCAGACCTTCTGTGGATGGATTTTATATCCCTCGGGCCATGTTTGACCAGACCACATTAGTGACTTCACCTTCTTTGCCTTTACACAGATGGCTGCTTTTTAATTTTAGGCCATAAGAAAACAAAAGAGGGACCATCTGTGGGGTCACCCACGGGAGTCAAAAGGGATGATTGAGCCCTCGGGTCCGGCTTTACTGCTCAGTCAGTAACCGGAGCTAGAAAATCCTCGTCATCTGTAGCTCAGGAGGCCAAAAGGTGTGAGACGATTAATCGGAGTGGAAAGGAAAAATAAATCAACCTTCGCTTTTTGTGAATGTGACCTGCTTCAGCCTGAAAAGGTTAATTAAACCAATCCAAACCTTTTTGCCTCAGACCTGTGACAAGTAGCGAAAGCAGTCGTGGAGGGCAACTACATATTTATTAACTCAAAGCCTTTTGCTTCTCAAGTTAATGCAAAACAAGAAACTTTCTGCTTCTTCCTCACTGCATAAGAAAGGCAAATGCTCAATTCTCACATTTCTCACACAGCTTTAGTTATTTTTAATATTTCAACACTGACTGACCCTAACTGGAGCACTCAGCTTTAAACATAAGTATTAGAACTAGCCTAAAACTCACTGAAAACCTAGAGAAGCTCCACTTCACGTTCAGTTTATTTACACTGTTAAAAAAAACAACAAAACAAAACTAAGTCCTTAAAAATAAATCCAGAAAATTAAGTCATTTTGTCCTGATTTCCAGGACTTAGTAGAATTTCCCCAAACTAAAAAGGGTCAGGTATTAGGGGTTAGGGTTAAGACAACAGAGGTTGTTTTTGTGAAGATTAAATCAATACTGGCTAGTTATGACTCTTTGCCATCTTTTACAGTCCTGACTTGTTTTACATTAAGAAATTCCCCTGAAGCTAAAACTCCCTGTTTTAAACAGAAAAGAAAGAAACAAAGTCAAAATTCAGTATTTTATTAGCAATGAGCCCTCTCATTTGTTTGGTTATTATCACTTTGTAATTATTATTACTAATATCTAAGTAAATTAATTCTTTTACTGTTGATATTTAATTAAATGTAGCTGATGAGTCACCTTTTCAGGGCTTCAAATGAAGAACTTTCAATAGCTTTGTGGTGTTTTGTTGGCCTGGTTTATACATGGTGGTGTTGCTTCAGTAGAGGACCTTAGTCGTCCTCACCACTGCTTAAGTCACTTGTATGTAGGGGACTGAAAAGTGTCAGTTTTTCCCTTTTGAAATGTAGTGAAACAGAAGTGTAGTGATCGTCTGGCTCTCAACTACGATACAATACAATAAAAACTAACTAGACTTTTGAAATAAACAAACTGACTGAAGGTACTTGGTCATCACAGTGTAACACAGAGCCAGTTAAACTTCAGGGATATTTATCTGCCCAATCAGGAATCCCAATCAGAATCAGAAACCGCTGTGAACCTGTCTCAGCTGAGCAAACCCAACGCAGTGCCACAGACCAATTCTCTCTTCTTATTCCTCCCTGGTC